AGAATAACGTACAGTGTAGAAACTTGTCAAAAACTGTGAAAGAGACAGCGTTTAGCATATAATATTTCACGATTTAATCGATCTTTGTGTGCCTAGAAAATTGGTTTCGTAAATTTTTACCAACAGTTTACGAATTACGGTATTAATCAAATATATTATCGATGGATGACGTATATAGGTTATACAATAACAACGCGTCACCAAAGGTTCACATAAAAGAATATTTTGACGAATATCTGAACATGATAGCTAACACAGAAAGTTTTATACCTATGAAAAGAGATGACAGAGATTTGTTAGGACTTATGGGCATCCACCTCGGCGAAGAAGAAATATCCATGCTAGCAAATTATTGCAGGTAGTTTTCCTTACTATTTTCATGCCAAGTTGCAACAGTGGTGTATTTTCTTTTATAAAATTGCAAAATATATGCATTGTCGTCAGTGTTGACAATTTAACTGTAGAAGGAGAAATGCCAAAAATAATTAATCATAGAAAGATGAGAAAACAGGAGACGTTTGATCCTAAAGAACCAGAAGATGTGGATCTACAGACCATTCAGAATTTAAGAAGAAGACTACAACTAGGAACCAAAGTACTCTGTTACAAGTATAAAAGTGAATTAATCATAGTAAATGTCTACTTGATATATTGATCATTTAAGAAAGAAATTATTGTTGATATATAGTTATTCTATTTTTGTTTAGAATCATGACAAGAAAACAGAATTAGAAGCAAATGGCAAGTTTGCAATTCCTGGGCGAGATATTATAATCTATGTTAGGATTTATTATCCTTTCATTCAACGTGCAAGAAGTACACTAAAGACAGAGTGTGGTACTTTACTTAAATTAAACAATATCACAGCTATTCTAGGTTCTCAAACACTAGCTGATTTGAGAGATAAAATACCTTGCATTGCTGATCATACAATTTCTAAAGAGTGTAGTACAAATTTGGACAATGCTATAGGTCCAATGGCAAAGGTAATTTTTTCATGTATAGTTTGTATACTTTATAATTTATATTATATCTATATTTTGAAATGTTTGTATTACTTTATAGGATATCTACAAATCAGGATTTTTTTTCATCGAAGACACATTTTATAATGATACTAGATGTCCAACAAACGTTGATTATAGTAAGGTGATTCTAGATTGGGCTAAAAGACGACCAAAATTAGGACCTTTCAAAACTGCTTCAATGGAATATTGTCGATTAGATTCTTTATTCTTAAGGTTTGGTTATCCATGGGTGTATAAACACCAAGGTGGTTGTGAGCACTTGATCGTATTCAGTGATTCAAGGTAATTCAGTAAATTACACATGAATCTTAAATGATTATGATAAATCTATGTATACTTAGACTTAATTGAGTTTTCTTATTCAGGTTGATCAATCGTAACGACGACTTAGCTTTAGCCGCATATCCGCAAATAGTACGAATAAGACCTACTGGTTCTAAATTTTGTATGATATGTACAGTGTACAGTGCACAGTGGATCACATTGGAGCATGAGAGAATACCACACAATCCTTGTTACTTCTGTGACTCGTGTTTCAAGTCTTTTAATTATATCGATGACAAAAAAGTTGGAAATTTCAAGGCATACCCTTATCCGCGTAATACAGAACTCGTAAAGAAAATAATAAATCTATAATGAAACGTTTTCATTTTTATAGTAAGTATAATTCTATTATTCTAAAAATTAAATTATTTTATTGATGACTTCAGAGAATACAATTTCTTTAAATTATCCCTTGCACTATGAAGTTCTGGTTTAATTTCCAATGCTTTCTTGTACATATATTCGGCTTCATTCAATTTATTCCATCGATGGTAAAGTACGCCTAAATTTTATTGATATTAAAGTTAAATACAAACATTTAATATTCGTATATAAAATTTCCAAATTTACCCAAGTTTGTAAAAAACATAGAATCTGTTGGATTTTTCGATATTGCAATTTTGAAGTGCATTTCCGCTGCTACAAAATTTCCAGCTTTGCCTAATATATTTGCAATATTAAAGTGAATAGAGGCATTATCTGGTAGGAACTGTAAAGCTTGAGTCGCTGTTTTAAGTGCATCTTCACGCATACCTAAAACAATGCATATATTTACTGTATTATAGTTTATACGTATAAACGTGTAATTAATTTTATTTAGATACCTAAATCATCAAGAAGTAATATCATGTTCGTCCATGCTCTTCTGTGAGTTCTTCTCTGTCTAGTAGCCGCTTCCCAAGCTTTTAAAGCTTTATCGTAATTTCTTTGTTCCAAATACTGTAATCAGAATTCCTTGTTTTAGAACAAATGATTTTATTTCATTGAATCAATGTCCATTTTACTAACCAATACGCCCAAATTGTATAAGCAATCAGGATATTTGGTTCTATGAGAAAGAGCCGTTAAGTAACTTTTTTCAGATTCTTTGTACTTTTTTAGTGCCGATAGGACAATACCTAAATTCATCCATGCTGTGGCAAAGTCTTCCCTAAAACTCACAACTTAGTGACTGTTTCTAATTCAAAAATTTTAGGCACGACTACATAAACTTTTTCATCTGCTTGCATCTCAAATAGTCTATTATAATCAGACTTACTGCAGCTCTATAGCCCGTTTAAATAAACTTTCTGCTTCTAAATATTTTTCTTGATCCTTGAGCAAGTTGCCAAGGTTGTTCATAGCTTGAGCGTACTTAGGATTTAATCTGTTAAAAAGATATTGAATTTACATTAATCCCTGTTGTTTTACTTAGAAATATATTTCGCGTACATTGTTGTACCTTAAAGCTTCTTCGTATGCGTACTGTGCCAAGGTCGAATTTCCAGCATCAGCAGCATTTTTAGCAATATTATAATGAACTTTCGCGTTTAACGGACAAACAAGTAATGCTGATCTGAAAAGCGATGTTTCAGTTTTCCATTGATCACTTCTCATCCACGATCTCGTGAAAAATAATGAAATTAAAATTGTGTATGCTAATAATGCATATTGCATAGAAATACGATTACAAAGTTTATGTAATCCTATAACGAATAAGAGACAATAACCAGCAGAAGGAATGTATAAGGTTCTCTCTGCTAACACAAATCCAACATTAAAAAAGATGTTACTAGCTGGGAGAAATGGAATGACTAGTATCGCCAGTCCCATAATTGTATATCTGTAAATAAAAAAAAACATTTCTTACAGTAGCTTTACAGTTAAATAAATTTATGATGATATAATTACCTTACAGATTGATCTTCATGTGGATTGAATGCATAAGTGAACAGTAGGCCAATAATCAGCCAAAAAATAAGAACATAAAGTATTCTTATATCATATGTAGTAATTAAAGGTACACAACCCATAGACCAGTCGAAGCATAACCATTGTGGACATATCAGAAGCCATGCATTTAAACAGTGAATATAACTATAATTCATCATTCGCAAAAATATATTATCTAAAAATGATGCTGGATTATCAACAGGCTGAAAAGTAGGAGGTTTAAATCCCATAACACTGAATCTTGAAATTACGAGTATTAAACCAGATAAAAAAAGTATAAAAAGCCTGATCAATAATTTTCGTTTCTGCATAATAATATTCTTTATTTTTGTGTAAGAGAATTGTATAGTCAGAAACGTGATCACATCAGAAGGCAGCACCTTGTTTACCACTACAAGATCATATATACTACAAATACCCTGAAATAAATTACAATTATTGGTATATATTAACATACAATAAATTTGTCATGTTTCTTACAATTGCTGTAATTCCAGTCTCCTTGCATAACATTGAAATTCCTATAGATATGATGCAACCACACATACTGAACCATCTACATAGTAATCTTGTTCCATAGATGGAATAATTGTATAGCAAAATAGACAACCACATAAATAGAGCACACAACAATTCTGCTCTACCTACAATACCTGAAACCTAAATATTAAAAGTATTACTCAAAATTATGTTTGTATTTTAGAAAAAAAAAATTAATTTAAACAATAACTCTTACAGCTTCTGTGTGTACTGGGTGAACAGCAAATAATATAGTAGCATAAACTGCAATGTTTTTCTCTTTTGAGCCCAAAATTATGTTAAATACAGGCAACAGTAATATACATACAAGTGTATGTAAAATAATATTTACTATATGATAATCTTGAGCTACAAAAGTTTCACGAAGCCAGAATTGTAATCTAAAAACGTTAATATTTCTCAGTAATTGATGTTCAAATATAATATTTCTTATAAACATATTTTTACCTGAAGGTAAGAATTGTAAGTGGTCGGTACGATCTATGACTTTGCTTGTAAGTTAATTTAGTGCCCCAAAAATCATTTTTAAATAAATCTTTAAGAGGATTTGTTTGTACATCTTCATTATTTATAATGGCTTCAGAATCATCAAACACAAAGTCACCATTGTAGCTATTAGCAAAGCACAAAGACAATAATGTGATTATAAGTAAAGAAAATGGTAGTGGAACGTCTGAAAGTACGAAATTATTAATCAAAGTATTAATTCTGTTTATAATTTGAACTTCGTTATAACAGAGATATAATAATCTACCCGGTAAGCTAACATCCGTTTTCGGTAACATATTTGTTTTCCTCAATATCCACTTGTCAAATATTTACATTGAACATTTACATGTTTGTGCAGTCCACTTAAAGAATAAACAAGAGGATGAAACTTCTTATTCGGCACTCTACAGTTAACTATAAGTCAAAACAACAAATATTTCAATTACTTCCTGAAATAGTATTAACCTTAAAGCTAGCATTTTTTGGAAATTAGTGTTACCACAAACAAGGTATAGAATAGATCGGTCATTCGATAGGAGTTTGTGATACAATCTCTGTGGTTTAATCAGGTTTAATATGAACCGAACCGAAATATCGACCATAATAACTACTGATTTATCGCGAGGTCGCCATTTCAATTAATTAACTGTAGTTAACCGCATAGGAATCGGAAACAATCGGAAGTAGAATAGACCAATGACTATATAGTACACTAATTTATTAGGAAAGGAAATATCTACAAAAATAAAATAAATCAAATCTTTATCTATTTTGGAAAGCCGACTTTGATATCGAATATATATAAAACCACCAGTGTCGCAATACAAGGTACGATTTTGTAGATCAAGATTTATTTTATATACTAAGTGGTCCACGTGCTCCGAATTTTTAAACCGTATTTGTATGCACACGTATTAATATGTAAATTAAATACTTTTTGCGTTAGATATAGGTATTCAGTCAACAAATATGGATTTTAATTTATAATTAATGAGCTTGTCGTAATACAATAATTGAGTCGGTGATATAATGGCACTTTCAACGAACATGTCGCATATTATAAAAATATACCAAAGATTAACATCAAAATATCCATTGATTGTTCAAGCTACCCAAGCTGGTAATAGAATAACAAATATTCTGTACTTGTATAATAAAAACTCATACTTGTAATTGATTGTATTATTAAATGAACAGGTACATTGATGGCACTTGGTGATCAGATTGCTCAAAACTTAGTTGAGCAAAGAAAAATTAAGGATTTAGATTTTGTAAGGACAGCCCAATTTGGAAGTATAGGTTTTTTTATTGCTGTAAGTAGTTATAGTATAACAATATTTAAAACACCCATTATTTAATTGTACTTACATATTTGTTTGTTGAATTATCGTCTATTTTATAATGATTTTATAAATTGAACTTATGACAGGGTCCCGTAACACGAACCTGGTATGGAATATTAGATAAATATATTGGTTCTAAAGGAGGAGTTGTAGTATTAAAAAAAGTATGTTATGATCAAATATTTTTTGCACCTTCATTTTTACTAGTTTTATTATCTGTAATTGGTATGTTTAAAGAAAATAGTGCAGAAAATGTTAAAACAAAATTAAAAAACGAGTATCCTGATATTTTAAAAAATAATTATAAGGTAATGTATAATGTGTGCAATGGGATGAACCTTCTATATTATTCCAGTTATATGTATTTTCAATATTTGTGGGTGCAAATTCTGTTTCAGGTTTGGCCTGCAGTACAATTATTTAACTTTTATTTTATACCTTTACAATACCAGGTTTTAACAGTACAATCAGTAGCTCTGTTGTGGAATACTTACATTTCATATAGGACAAGTTTAGGAAATCAATAGGTGTATGAAATAATTACAGGTTTAAAAACATTGATGGTATATGTGTAACTTTTTTAATACAAACATTCTCTTAAGTGTTATATTCTAAAAGTTCTACACAGTAGAGTAATACAAAAATTGGTGTCTTTTAAAAAACAAATGATGAAAATGATCATAAACAATATGATCTTGCAATAACAATTGTAATATTATAAATAACGAATAAAAGAACTATCTCTTTCTCTCTCTATCTCTCCCTCACACACACACACCCTTACCTTTTTACATAGCAACAGAATTACACTCCTTTACAACTAATTGACAAACAGGATTATAATCATAAAGTGTACTCTACTTTTTATAGAATAATATTTCTTGTTTCTCTATAGTTTTCTGGTATTAAAATACAAAATATATGTTCCCTTGAATTTATTATTTATGTATAAATAAACTATATAAACAAGCTTCACATTACGATTTCTTTTTCATGATTAAAAGTATTGATATTTTTTACAAAAGGATACATTTTGAATATGTTAAAAATAAAATTATTTTACGGAATGTAACTATTTATAAAACTGTTAAATGATCGAGTACAAACACCCAGCGTTAAGCTTTGTGCCAAAATACTTATTACTCACACTAAATATGTACAACATATAAAGTGTAGTAAAATAAATAAAAATTTTATCTAAATTATCTATGATCTATGTAAGTGTAATTACTATCAACAATTCATAGTGGAACTTTTTCAGCTTTTGCAACCGCAGCAGGTATAGTTTCATTAGTTTTGGATGATATACACGTACCAAGTAATTCTGGACACAATAATTCATTTGTAGCAATCTTCTGAATTTTTTTTAATAAATCATAATTTATACGCTGCGTAATTACGGAGTCGGATCTATATTAATATAATATAATAATAATTATGTAACGATATATTTGTATGCCTTTAATTTGTATGTCTATGCATATAAGGAAGTACGTACTTGTATTCTGGATGTGAAATAACTTCCTTCCTTAACCATGCTGCAGTTGTCAATAATTCTCCTGAAGCTCTCTTTTGTATCAATTTCAAATATGCTTGTACGGTGCAGTGTGTGTCAGCATCTACATCCATACTGGCTAAGTACGAGTTTACTAGTGGTATTAAACCAGGAAAGACGTCATCCTAAAACCAGTTAATATGTTTTTATTTTTGTTAATTATTCAATTGATTTTATTTACCAGAGGAAAATTATACCTTTCCATTGATAATTTCATTAATGGTAAACTCCGTACATTCCGCTTGTCCATTATCTTGATTTTTTGCATCGGATGTAATATCTCGGCGAAACCAAAATTTTTCTGCTTTAACTGCGTTCCTCTTTTGAGCTCTAGCCATATTTTTATCAACATTACTAATTGGTATCAATAGATTTAATTTGTAACTTAAAATAACTCTTGTAAGTAGAACAACGAAACAAACTATTGCAGCATTTTCGAAATCGGTAATTTGAACTTCGCATGGGCGAAATTCAACTCGCCACCCTATAGGAGAGTTTGGTGGTGGTGGTTTAAACCGCATTGTTTGCCAATTGGTTGATTGAATGTTCTAAAATTTTACGTTAATGTATATAAAATAATATACTTGCAATATATATTAAGTTATATGTTACTAATAGGAACAATAATTACTTCAAAGTGATCAGTATCTTTTTCATCATCTTGATACACTTTTTCAGAAAATAGAGACACAGAATCCCTGATAAACAAATGAGCTATGTGTTGTGCTAATAACTTGTCAATTCCATTATCCTGAAGCTGTTTATATATTTCATCATCATATGTTAATGGCACATCATTGTATTTTTCTCCTTGTTCGCTAAGATATGAATCAATAGAATCATATCTAGATTTACTGATTCTGAATTTGTTTTCCTTCAGAGGCTTTAAACCACGTTCTTCCTTTGTTCTGCAGTCGACAGAACAAGATATCACATTCCATCGACAATCAACGTCGCTTATATATCCTCGATAAAATGGACTAGCTGCGGTTAAAGCCAACTGTTGAATGTTAAACAAATGTTCTGTAATGTATGCGCGAAAAAAAAGCTAACTTCGCATTTTTATCTTCTAGGCGAAAATAACAATATTGTTATGCGTCACTAACCATTATTGGACACAAAGGTGTTAATTGATCATACAATGTTCTTGCTTCCTCTATATTACACGCTTGAAACGTAAGTTGCAAACAGCAACATCCCATTCCAAATCCCATAGCATCCATGTAAATATGATCTTCTTTTGCTGCGCTACTAGATTCATTTTCGATCAAGGTACCAAAATCCTCTTTAAATGGATTTGGAACATTTTTATCTTTATAAACTGTAAACAAATGCTGTATGTTAAACTTAAATTGTCTTATCTACAGAAAACTAAACATGAAAGGGATACAAGTTCTTCATTACCACATGATTGTTCAAAAAATTAATTTGTTTTACAAATTTGTATAAGAAATTAATCTGAATTAACATTGTTTTCCTTTTCAAAACTGGTAGCATACCTCAAGAAGGTCACAGGAAGAAAGCCGTTGTCAATTAAATAAATAAACTATTCTCCACACGTTTTCTGGAGTTTCCTTTACTTGCTCTTACTTACTGATAAGAAAGGGTAGATACTTTTGAAGTATATCAAATACTTCAATATGAAGGCATTAAGTAAATTAAATACATACTAGGAATGTTTATAGCAACTTTTTCTCCACGCCGTTGTCTTATGTTGCCTGTTAATGTTTTGAATCGTGGATGGCCTGGAAATATAGCTTCATCTGGGAAAAATAAACTTCTCGATACACTAGTACTTGGTGTAGGTTGTGCAGGAGGATCTGTAAAATCAATTGCTCCTGTTCTATAGGATGAGATATACGTTAATTGGATCTATATTAAATACTTATACATCTATCATATTCTGGTATGAACACTATTTTATATACCTTGGAAAATTAGTTAAAGACATTAGGACCTCATTGGGTTGAAGCAATTTTGAAGCTTCTTGCCTTCGATACTTCATATTTGCTTCAACAACATTAAAATGAACTAACAAACACCCATATGGTTTTCCTGGTGTTCCTTCAATCATATAAGCTCCATATTCAGGTCTCCATAATGATTTAATATTGCTGTAAGGAAATGTGTATTAGAATATGAGTTTAATATAATATTATTGTTTGCTAACAAATAAGTTTTAATTTCTTGTTTAAGGGAGGAGAAAAAAATATTTACTCTGGATCATTATCTTCTTTTTCATTTAAAATTTGCAGTATTTCTGGAGCCCTTAAGCTGAGCTTTGCAGTTTTTGCTACATCATCAAATTTAATAATCATATATTCCACCTGTGTTAAAACAACGAATAAAATGTTAACGGCACTACAACAATTTAGTTTTAATTGCTAACATTAAAATAATAAGTAAATTTAGAAACCACATGGTAAAAGCAAAAGTGTTGACTCATCCATCTAGATGTATTTAAACTGTAATTGAAATCAGGAAAACTCAAGGTTATGGCTTATAATAGTTCTGGAACTACTACTGTACATTCATCAATTACATCAATTAATAAGCATGCAACAATGTTAACGATAAAAGCAAATCAAGGATAATCTCGCATAGGAATAGAAATAAATTTAACTGAAAAAAGGTGATTTTTCATGTTTGTTGAAATGTGTACTAGAATGACATAACTATATTACTTTATCCATTAGAAGATGATAATTTCAATATAAAAATACAATTTTTCGAAATTTAGCTATGTATTAATAATATGTATATATTAAATAATATTTTGCAATTTGTAATACTCTTTAAGACAGATACATAAGGTAATATTTTTAGCGATTACTTATGATATCTAACTTTTTGTAGCATGACATAGCAAAATAAGTTTATAAGTGTTTCAGGAATGTGAAAAATTGAAAAATGGATATTACCTCATCACCCCATTTCAGCACATCACCCTGTCGATCTCTGAGCCTCTTGTACAAGTTAATGAATTGAATAATTCCATGCTTTCGTACGTGATCGGCAAGGTTTTTTGTTTCCTCCCAGCTTAAAGGATTTCCCACAGACAACAAACCCATATTTGTAAAATGTACAGGTTAGCAGTTATATGGGTGTGTTTCAAAATTTGATACTTAAAACAAAATTTCGCGCAAAAGTGGCTCAATCCGACTTGTGCCGAGGTACACCGAGGCACAATCACACTTGTGTATTAAAAATCACCGAAATTTCACAATGAAATAAGATATATACAGTACCAACGACGCTTTATATACTACCTACAGTCTTCGTCGAAGTATCCCGTCACTTTTAATGATATATATCGTTGGGTAAATGAAAGAATCGACTTGGGAGACCTCCTACCATTTGCTGTGTAGAAGTATACTCTTCCACCACTTCCTACCTCAACCGGCAGTTTGATTTTCCGGAGTTTGATAAAGATGGGATTTAAAAGAATTTTATAAGAATGATGCGTAATGTTTCCTTACAGGAAAATATAGGCTATCAAGACGATAAGAATTAGATGAAGAGTAGAAAGAGTTATAATTTCTTCTCCTACCAAATTTTTTCTATTGTTAGAATTTCAACCTAACCATGTTCTCTTACTACCACATTACATTGTTTGAAAAATAATGGTTTCAATGATTCGTGAGTTACCTTTTACGCGATAAATATTATGTAACCGAGTATTTCCTTTTACCGTGAGTCATATTTTAAAACAAAATTATTTCTACATTAAAAACCATGCTTTTAAATAAGTGTAATTTGATACTTTATGTAACTAATAATTAGTTACAAAACTATAATTTGCAGAGTTATTGAATATTTGTTATTTTGTATGAACTTGTGCAATATTTACATATTTATAATGGTATTATATACTGCATATAAAAATAGTTAATATATTAAATAAATTGAAAATTACTAATGAAAAGTTAAATAAAATGGAAAACAACGTTGTTTGCCAACCATAGAACTGTAAAATATTTCAAATATCTTGCAACAAATTATCAAGAAGATATCATTTTTATAGATAAAAAAGAGTTACAACTTCATGTTTTCTTACTACCACATTATATTGTTTGAAAAGTAATGATTTTAATGATTCGTAAGTTATTCTGTTTTAAAACAAATTATTTCTATTTTAAAAACTATATTTTTAAATACGTCATTTGACACTTATAGTTACTTTATGGGACCAATAACTAGCTACAGCACTATGACTGTCAGTCTTATTGAATATTTGTTATCTTGCATGAACTTGTGCAATGTTTACATACTTATAATTATCACTAGATGTAAGATTAATGATACAGTAGAATTGAAAGGTAGGATAAGGGGCATATGTCAGAGGATTAAGTTTGTTGCAATATGTATGACAAAGCATTTTATTACAATTGTTTCTTTTTTACAGATCAAGCTTATAACATTGTGTTATAAGTTATAGATCCGGTTTATTTTACATGATCTGGCCATGCTGAATAATACATACACATGTATGTAGTTTAGTCGAACAGACCGAATCCCATGTCTTCATCTTCGGATTCTTCCTTCTCTTCTTCCTTCTTTTCAGCAGCGGGTGCTTCTGCAGCAACCGTGGCCGGAGCAGCAGCAACAGCAACTGCAGCAAATTTGCTTGGATCCTATGAAAACACCATTACGAAATAATATAAATGTACATGTAAATCATTTTTAGGAGAACTATATATTCTCCATTTAATTTCAGACAGCATTTCATGCGTTTTTTCAACAAAAAATCCTAAAGTGTCAGTGGGTTCTGCTATTGCTAGCTCTGACACTTTAACTAGGACTCTCAGATGTATGTTTATCATCATACTTATATTCATAAAAATAATTGTTATTGTATACAGTAAAGAAAAGTATTGAACATACCTTGATGTATTCCTTGATTGTTGCAGCTTCTGCAAACTCAATTTCAGTAACAGCAGCAATAGCCAACAGATTCTTGAACCCGTTAACAATACTGTGAGGAGCACTAGCTACTGTAGGATAGCCAATGGCTAAACAGACTGAAGCTAAGTTTGCAACGCCGGCCATGAATTTTTCACGGAGATCTTCTGGTTTGATATCCAAAATTTCAGGTGCAAAAATAGTACCAGAGTCATAAACTTGTTCGACAATTAAACCATATGAGAAAGGAGAAATATTCAACATATTCAGAAGAGTGGCTTCTGATGCACCAACTTTATCACCTGGCTTCAAAATGTGGACATCATTCTAAAACAATAAGTGTTAATTGTACAAAATCTACATATATTATAAATGATGATTTGAACCTGAATTAATACAGGTATACAATAGGGAAATTAATATATAATATATACATACCACAATTTCAATAGTACCCTTGGAAATTTTAGTGGGAATACTTAGAGCTTGGAAGAAAGATGTTTTATCAGGACTAAGTCCAGTATTTTGAGCAGGTACAATTACGCTAAGCGGTGCAATAGTTCCTGCTCTAGCTGGTGCTCTGACCTTATTTTCCAAAAGTTTGTCTCTTACTTCAATTAAATCTCCACGAGTAAAAACAAAACCGACATTCCCACGAATGTGAGGTAAAAGCTTTTCCAATGCTGCATTACGTTCAATATGACCACGAATTGCTTTTCTCATCATGGTATTTTTTCCCATTAATACAACAGCATTCCCACGAAGAGACATGCGAATTTGTTGCATCTGTTTAGAGCCAACATTGTCTGCACCCACAATGAAACATTTGGGATAGTCATCCAAAAGTTGCTACAGAGAAATATAATTGTTTCCATGAAAATGATACAAATTACAGGCACCCATTTAAACATTAGAAACATTCTGTTACGAGATACTTACAACAAGTTTTGTGAAGTAGTTTGACTTCCATGTTGTCTTATCCTCCCTACCCATCTTGAAGTGTGTGTAGGGATTACGAAGAGTTTAAGGACTGGAAAAAAACAAAGATCGATCAAAATATGGCTCACCGCACTTGTTATAATATTTGTCATTCAAATTAGAGTCAGACATAATAATTTATAATCTTTTAACCCGCACACAGATGGGTTCCGCTATTTCTAGCTTCCGTGTGGTTCTCGGAATTATCAGACGCGTTATTTTATCATCATATAAAATCAGTATTATATAAAGTGTACATGAACGTTCAGAAAAATCTGTTGAAAATTTGTAAATAACTAGATAGTGTAGGAAGTTCGCTTATGGCCACATGGCACGCTAACCCTATTAACTGTTTCTTTCAGGTTATTTGAACAAATTAAACTAATAATTTGTATTTTTTCAATTCTATTTGGTAAATATAGCATATGTAATGTTGGAAAATAATAATTGAATACGGAAGATTAGTAATTTCTTACTTTACTAGAGAAACAGTAAATCGAACTTTACTCACCGTGACAACGGTTGCGGGTACAATGGAGGAGAAAGAGGAAATTTCGTCATACAAACCTATCCGCTATACTACAGGAAGTTGTCCTCTTACCGCGAAATTTTCTTAATTTTAAAAAGGAAGTTATAAGTACAAAAATTCATGGAAGTATAAAATTGCCCATTGTATTTGTACTTCATATTTATTTGTTTCTTTTAAATTACATATAAGACAATATATATATCTCCAGAAATACTGTTAAATCAATTTTTATTATATATAAAACACATCACAACTGCATAGATATGACACGATTCTGAATAAAAAATAAATTATTTGTAAAATAGAGAAATGTTTTGCTTGTACAATCAGGAAGAGATCTTTATGCGCTTGTGCAATGAATGCGTAACTGTACAAATTTGTTGATAAATAGGATGTACATAGATAATTGTGTTAATTTTAAAGTATTGTTTCAAACAATTTTTTGATTTTCCCCTGTCTTACGCTGACAGAACTTCTTCTGTACATTTCTTTAATATATTCAATGCAAAATCAATATCATTCTTATTGAGAAGAGTAGAAATACAAAGTCTGAGACTAGGTCTAGGTAAATCTCTTTCTGCTTCTAGATAGATAGGTGTTACAACAGCTAAATTATTTTCAATACATTTTTCAGAGATTTTGGAAAGTATGTTTTTTTCTGTGTCACAATCTAATTTTTCTTTCAGATATACATGTTTTACAGGAGATTCTGGGAAACTTGAACATTCTAAACAGTGAATGTCTTGAAGTCCACTATTAATGGCTACACAATTATCTTTCAGCGATTTAAATATTTGTGGATTATTTTTCATAATATCTAAAGAAGTAATAGCAGCTGATGTCAGGAGAGGTGGCAGAGATGCGGAGAAGCAGTATCCAAGTCCGGATAAACGATGATGTTCTATAACAAATGATGTACCTACGCAAAAGCCACCGATAGATCCTATTGCCCACTCCAAAGATCCTAAAAATAATATAAATAAATTATGTAAATAGAATAATAACCAATAATCACAATTATTATGCATTCTAATAACACTAGTTACCCATAATCATGTCAATTTCATGTCTAGGAATACCAAAGTGTTCTGTAACACCTTTTCCTTGGGCACCAAGTGTTCCAAATGATATTGATTCATCGATAAATATTCTCAATTTATATTCCTTACAAAGTGAAACTAGTTCTGGTAATGGACAAATATTTCCTGTATTCATATAAATACCTTCAACTATTAAAAAGCGTTTAATCTTGGTTGCTTTTTTAGAATTTTGTTTGTCAAGTTCTGCTTGTTTCATTAATAGATTTCGAAGATCATTCACATCATTGTGTTTAAAATATTTAACATTAGCTTTAGATGCATCTAAGCCTTTTTGTATGGCAAAATTTACTTTTTCATCTGCAAATATAATATCTTTGCGCTTACAATAAGCTGCTATGGAAGATGCTATTGTACTAAATCCATAAGAATATACTACAGCTTCTTCTGTGTCTGTATAATTTGCTAAACGCTCTTCTAATTCAAGATGAACATCAACAGTACCATAAAATCCACGTGGACCACAAGATCCTATACCATATTTTCTTATAGCTGCTATCGCTCCTTTTTCTATTTCATTATTTTCTGTTAAACCTAGGTAATTGTGCGTACCTAAATTCAAACAATCTTTGCCATCAACTATTATTCTCTTCCCTGCTTTAGATGTTATACATCTTGGATATAAAGAAGAATGATTCGCTTGTGAAGTGGGTATTAATGGTTCAGGTTTCCACTCTGCGAGTTTCTTCTCCACTTCATCTTCTGTTGGCACTCTTTCGTGTCTATTGTAACGTTTCTTAGCTATAAACCAAACAAGCCAAAGGATCAAGAATGATCCTAGCAGTGTATGATATTGAGGTATTGTGCTTAAAATCTCCATGGATTCGATCAATATGAATTTTGTGCACATGACGTTAATTGTATGATATTTTGTGTACCCTGTTTTCAATTCGTTGTAGATTAACAAAATCAATCACTTTGTATATCGTAATGTACAATGCTTTCTTAGCAAAGTAGTAATGTTAGGATGTATTTACGCGATATGATTATAGTAAAATTTATAAACATATCATACGGACCCAAAGTATATGATATTATGGTAGCAATATGTGTACTTTCATTATACGGGTAGAGTTATAAAATACTACGAAATGTAAAACTTCATGATAATGAATACTAATACTTCTAAAGAAAAATAATAGATAAAGTTATTTCTGACTCAGCGTAATTACTGCAGTCAGCTTTTTTGACTGCAGAACTAGATGGCAGCACTAATCAGTTATATAGATCAGTGCGGAACATTCGAAGAATTGTTTTACATTACATTTTGTGTTAAATTCAGAAGGTACGCATACATTTTCGCAGGTTCTCTATACAAGTGGTACTGCACTTTCAATTACACCTTATCGTTTTGAGTAAAACTGTGTACTAAAAAGTGTAGTACTGAAATTCAGAGTCATTTAAAAACGTAAACAGTGACGACATTATCTATTACTTAGAAAAGTTTTTCCTCCTGTATCGTACAAACATAATAATTTTACTTATTTACAGAAATACTGCAAAGAAAGTATATGTCTCTTTTGAAGGTAATGCGCTTGAAACTAGGCGCATGTGCAGTTAACAATTCTAAGCTGTTATAATAGCAAGAGTAGTAACTTCCGGTATTCCGTATCCGGCAAACGCCCCAGTGCAGTACTATTGTCAGATTGAATTTTTGTCAGTTGTTTGTCGTGTTTGTTGCGTTATTATCGAGTCAGTTGTCACAAAGTGACAGCATACATGTTACTGAACTTCATCGAGGCTTCATATTGGTGAGTGAGTGCGCATATTTCGCGTAATAGTTATTAAAACGAACCACAGCCGCTAGGTATATATCAACTTTTCTGAAAACATTTCGTTATTTATGAGTTTCAGTAGTTTACATTGTTCGAATTTAGACGAATTTATATGTATGTATACATACGAGACGTATAATAAATTTAATTAAGCGATCGACGAAATTGGAACTGTAGCTGCTTTTGTTGAAAGATACAAAAGAGCATTTTGTTTGGTTATGGTTATGAACAGGGTTATACTTATGCAGTTTACACATCCTGCACTGTTTCGTCTGTGAGTCATACTAAGCTACACCTAATACTTGACACTTGGTAACGTATCTTGATACTTTGTATAATTGACTAAATATACGAAATTTGATTAAGTAAAGTACATAAATGATTAAGATATGTATTCATATAATAGAAATGAAAATGTTTATTTCTTGAGTGTTCTATTCACAAAAGACACGTTAGGGTAGACAGTTGTAATTATATGTCGTCGCTGATTTAATAAGAAAAAATGTATCGTAAAATATAAAAAAATATAGCCATTTTTGTTTGTTTAAAGTATCCGTTTTAATCGTTTAATAATGTAAAAATGGTTTAATTAGAAGTTAGAATGGAATTGAAAAAAAAAAATGAAAAATTTCTTTACTGATATTTTTTATTATTAGGTTGGTTGTATGATACGGTCCTGTGATTCTGATGTGAGATTAAATTCTATCGTGAAAGCTGACGAAGTGATTCCGTTATTATCATTCATCGGTTAAACGTCGAACGTATTAGTTTGTGCATCTTATGTAGACGGTGTTTTGTTAATTTTTTGCGTAATTCTTAACGAAAAGAAAATTTTTCGAAAATGTCCGAAAATCGTAAAATTGTACAAAATGGGTCTCTAATGGTACCAGGTGCTTACAAAAAGGTTTTAAATATGTGGAAGGATCGTGAGTAACAAGTGATTTCTTTTTTATACGTCTTTTAAAATCATCTTAAGTTATACATATATTACGAGTTAATACATGATGTAATTTACAATACTTTTATTTACCTATTTTATTATTTACGCTTTATAGATAATATACCTATGTTATTCATTTCCTCAAACAATATTAGATAACATTTACCGCTATCAGCGCAAGGTATTTATATACATACAATGAAGTCTTTGATAAAGCATTCAATAATACATTTATAGATGTGTCGCAGAAATTACATATTCGCTCATCATATGAATCATACTAACGCACCTGTTACTTCGAACAGCATAATCTGTTTGATAAAGCATTTCCAATTTATCTATGAAAAATGATTTAGTGTACTAAAATTTTCTTACGAATACAAATTTGTTTTATATAGTTTTTAAAGTATAGAAACATGATCACGCAGAATTACATACAGCACTCGTTTTCTTTTCGTATAGAATTTCTTTAATAGCGACGGAGAAGGAGAATTCAAAGTTTCATAGTCCTGTTAGATACGAAATCACATTTCGAAAGTTCCATGGTGCACGTGGCTCCTAAGGACTTGCAATTGCTTCGGGTCTCGACCACTTTGTGGCAGCACTGCGAGTGTTGGTCATTACCGATAGAGTATTCCTCCTAAAAAACTTGCAACAATTTCGGGTCTCGACCACTCTGTGGCAGCACCACAGAGTGCCGGTCGAAACCAGAAGCGGTAGAGTATTGCGCCGGTTGCTTCCAAAGTAGGCTGTTTTTGAGGGCAGAAACTCCACCCTCACGGGTCTCGTAATTGAATACAATTTTTCCACTCGTGTATTAATTTGAATTCACGCGATCATCGAGTGGTAGTTACACTGGAATCGCCGAAGGTGGAAATATCCGCCTATTCCAAGCATTTGAGAATTATTCGAAAAGCGAAATACGTTAATTCGTACAACGAAATTGAATGAAGTTGCATTGATAATTCATAAGTGTGGAAAATTTTGAATGAGCGTCAGAATATATTTTACGCGGGGATTGATTTATTATCGAAATACGATATCAGTAGTGACACTGATACGGTGCTAATTTACATAGTTAGACTATTTGTAATTAAATCAACAGAAGTGATTCACGGTAAACGAACGTATGCAAAGTTTCGTTAACGGTTGAGTATTCGTTCATTCATATTCTTGTTCGTCAAGGTATTACGTACGTGATTTTGCTGCATACATTACTTGCATATATTGAAATGACATGTGCTTCTGATGTCGTTTATGTGTGCGTGTTTATCTCTTGACTGTTCGCAAGTTACATCGAATCATCAGTTTCTCCTGTGCGATTATGAGAAACGTGGCTATAGTTTGTATTCGTAGGGGTGTATCATTCTCCTTAGAAAGGGCGTGTATTTGCTCGCCGACGCAACATTTATCTCACCAGTGTTTCCCATTAATCGTAATCGGAAGCCGTTAGAGGATGCAAACGCAGTATCGAGACGAACGTGTGTAACTGCAATTTTGTGATTGTTTCATCACGAGAACCCGAAACTCGGTTAACGTGCAACGCCCTTTTCTATCATCGGGCTTATCTCGAAACGTAAACTTGTACGTAGCTGAAATTGATCATTACGCCATCCAGAGTATTTCGCCGAGTAAATACGTTGCAAATCTTGGTTGACTATAGTGTTTTAAAATTTATGGGAATTTTATGCGTACGACATTGTGCTTTCGATGCTTTATCGAAATATTATTAAATTGTTATCAAAACTGTTGCTCCTACGTCGTAGTTAAAGGAGACGTCCGAATTATTGAAGCGGACAAGTTTGACGCAGGTCTCGTAAATACATATTTTATCTCTGTTGTCTCAACACACAATTTGTCCAGTGTACGTTGCCTGTTAAAATTACGCGTTTCGGTAGAAAGAAGAAATAATAGATGTTAATTAATTATCTCGACACTTTCATTGTGTGTGCACGTAATTCGAAGTTGACAACGTTAGCGGGCGCTGACCGTAAACACACAACACAGGCTGTGAGTAAATGTAATTGTATTACGTTTGTATACTGAACAATTTACAGTGCGTGTGATTCCCGTGGGAAATCCCTGCTTGGAATAGAATATTCGATCGCCAAGTACCGCTGCTTACTAGCAAAACATGTACCGAACCTAAATTATTCAAGTACCAGTTCCACTTTGGCTGTGAAGGGTCAGCACTGAACTTGAGTCTAAAATAGTAAAGTGTTCTTACTCGTTATTACTTTTCATATGTCTGGGTCAATGTTGTTACATACTAAGGAGTGTTTTTAAATCGAAACTACGATACTCGAATCGTGAATCAACGCCAAACATTCAATTCATAGTCAATATTTTACATCGTTACGACCTTATTCCTTACATATTTCCGAATTTATATTTCTCTCGTTGAAACGTAGTTACGTATTCTACTCGATTTTTTACCCGCGTTTTACATCGATTGCTTCCGATCCGACGGATCGATCGTCGTGACATAGAACGAACACGATCGATATTGGAAAACAGCTAACTACTTACGAGCGTAAAGGTAGTACTTTCAAAGCATCGAAATTTGGCTGAAAGCTACGAAAAGCGTTTGCCGTTGACACAACGGAAATCCATAATCGATATCGACGATGTTTAAATGTTGTGTGTGCAACAAGAGTGCAAAGAAGGAGAAGACGAACGGGGATGTGGCAAAGCAAAGTCAGAAAACGATGGCCTCGCAGATAGTTTCCGTCAACTCGACGAAAATCGAAGAAGACGGGCCGATTGGACGAGAGGAGAAGTTGAACGGTGACGTGCAGAGATTGGAGAAAGTTTCGCCATCTATGGAGAATTGTTCTGCGGAAGTAGTCGACGACTTAACTGTCAAGAGTCCGTTACCTTCCGGTAAGCGCGATGAAATCGACGATGGTTCTCGACCGAGGAAAGAATCGATAGTGGAATCGAACAAGGAAAATGGCGATGATGCTGCAAATTCGATCGATCAAACGAAGAAGAATAAGAAAGATGAAGAGAATGGAATTAAAGATGCGAGTGGAAATGTAGAAGTAAATGGGTGTGATAATCTGAGTGGGATTGGCGATGGGGGTGGGTTTGTAGAGGCGATATTGCATTCCGGTGTTCCTAGCATTGTCAAAACAAATCTTTACGACTCATCCGCCGCGTACATCGAGAGAACGATCGATGATGGACCTGAAGAAGAAGGCGACGATTCCGTTTTCGAAGCATGTCCGAACGACAACAATGCTATTAAAAAGACGACACCAGGTATATTTTCACTGATGGAGTGTTTCCTTCTTTGTTTTTCCCCCATAAATTATTTCATATACATGCAATTTTCTTACCTTTCTGGTTCTTTGTCCACACAGGTTCCATTTTAACAAAGTACTCCAATGTAATCAAATTTCTTCGCCGATAACAACAACGTTTCACTTAACTTGCATCCAAGTTTCTACTAACGAGATTTATGTTATCAAAGTTATTGAACTTTAGTCGTAACGTACATGTGTTCGTGTAACGTATTGAAATTTAACTTTACAAACAACTGGTAGTCTCGCTTCAACTGTTTCAGATCAGAGATATTCAAGATTCATGATTTGTGGGTTGAAGGGAGTGGAACGAGTTTATTATTATTATCAAACTTTACATAAATATAACTTCTAAACTTAACATGATAGAGGATCGTAGTTGTGCGACATTGTTTTTCTAATAATTTGTATTAAGTAAAAACATGATCAAAATGCGGCGCCACGGAAATCGTAATCTTCCCATCCTGAAAATTGCGTGTAATGATAAATTGTACAAGTGGGAAAGATGTTTATATTGAAGTGTATGATACACAGTTTCGTCAGTTCCTCGTTGGCTATCGGAGGAGGACGACGGCGATCATGATTCGGAAGAATGCAGCGGAATGCAAGAACCACCAGCGACACCGGTCGCCCGCGACGAACTAGCTTTAAGGCGACACAGATTCTTCTCCGATTTATTGCACGCCGCACAAACTACGACGGAGCACAGAGTGAGGTTTGACCCACTAGGACCGATGGTACACGCCGGTTAGGGCTCACCTTAAATTCATTTCTTATTTTATATGATTTTTATCGAAACTTATTTTTCGAGAATACATAGTCGTACACCTGAAATAACTTTTTTTTTTTTTATCAATAATCCAATATACCGTGGGACAACGCTAGCCTTTACTTGGTTGTGTCCTTCTTTATACATATAAGCAGTGTTTTTCAAACATCACTTAGAATTTCTTTTGTTATTTCTTGGATCTAATTTGAAGGATACTGCTTTGTTATGTTTGAATCCATGCAATGTTCTTGCGACACGTAACGCTATATTAGTGAGCGTCCTGTGCTATAGCTAATATTGGACAGCATTGCTATAAATTGTGTTAATATCTTTGTCACACTTTGTATGTGGTATCTTTGTATAAAATATGTTTTTTCTCTCTTCGAACTGTTAACTTATACACGTCTAATATGCGATATCATAAGTAATATTTCGCAGTATATAACGAGTGTTTTGTTTGTATTCAGGAGAGATTGAAACATCGCGAATACCATGTATTGATAGCCATCAGATTTACAACACACGGATATCGGGAATAATTGTCTAGAATTCTTTGTTTCCGAGTTGTGACATGGAACTCAGCGACGTCAAAACTTTTCAATGTTTCATACATTGTATCATCTTTACCTGGTCTATTTTTACCCTGTGACCCATTTACCTTTCACCTCGACATATCATTTTATAAACTTCGTATGACAAGAATGAAAAAACTTTCGTACGCGTAAAACAGCAGTAAAAAGGAACGTTGCAACGATTGAGTATTCTTTTCAAAGCTTTCCGTAAGAAATTTTTGTTTTTATTAGGGCTGTAAAATACAGATCTTATCAATTTTATAGACAGAAATGGACTTTCTCAAGATATTTTACTCTCGATAACATTCATGTATGGAATATACATGTACGAAGAATTTGTAAGCTTTAAATACCTGTAAAGACGTGAGATCTACCATACAAAATAGTATCTACCCACGCAGAGTTTTTAAAGGCACGTTATACATATACGCGCGATTCAGTTTTCGCAGATTTCCTAAGAATAGGCCGGCGTATACTCGCGTCGAGTATCATTAGAACCGTGGTTTAGTTCTTCACCAATTTCTGAAAAGACGAGAAGGTCTCGCGGATACGTACGTTCATTCCTGTAGAAATAATTTTCGATAAAGTGAACAAATAGTTGTACGAGGTGTGATTTTAAAATTGTTGTACTATTAATTTTGAATCGAAGTAGCGATGATGAATTAATTAATTCGTCTATTACTGATCTGGAAAATTTGTGTATGACGTAAAGCAACTTAATGATTTGATTTTAATTTTCTAAGTTGATTGCATTTGTTATTTCGAAACTAGTAATAATAATATTAATATAAATTTTTGATCAGAGTCTGTTATAGAGTCTATTCTAATGCATCTATAATGTGCAATTATAGTTACTTCAAATTTAATATTCATATTCATTTTTTATATTTAAATGGAAACGCGAATTTATTTGTATTATATACTGCAACATAATGATCTAGCGGCTGTGGATCTTGACACATCTATTTATACACTCATTCTATATTTAATATACTCGACATAAATTCGAACTTTCTGGATTATATTTCTCACAATTATAACAAATTTCAAATGATTAAAAATTGCAAAATTAAAATAGATCTTTTTTAGTTTGATTAAAATGTTCAAACTACAGTGTGAATAGGATTTTATTGTATTCTAAAGCAAATTTTGTTTGCATGTATTTATTATCTCTTTACGTATTCTTACATAATTACTCATTAAATTTATATTATATTAAAGGCTGTGAAGCTAGTGATAAGGAAGATCACTTAGAAGAACTGGTAAATCGATTGGAAAGTGTTACCAAACGACTGGAAAAAGTACAGACTCATACTGTAACTGAAACTCAAGATTCTGCTGTTCAAACAAGTACACCATCACCAAAAAAGGCTCAATCAATTGGCAATAGTGTGTCGATACAGTCTGCCTCACCAACTCGATTGCTACATAAGCCAGCAGTGGACAAATCTGTCAGCATGTCAGTCGCAGGCTATGAAGATCTTTTGGCTGGTCCTGTAAAAGAGTACTTGCAGTTGAGTCAGAAAATTGGCGGCGATGTTGCCACCCACAGCAAACTCGTAGAAAAGGCATTCCAGTAAGTGTTTCAACGTAACACTTTATTTTTGTTTACATTAATCACGAAATATTTGTATCCTTGTTATAGAATTCAACTGGAGTTCATTCGGACTGCGGCAAATCGATCGGCTCCGGTAAATCAATCTGAACAAATTTCTCTACTTGGACCTACATCTTCACAAATTCAACAAATTCAAGATTTTCGCGAGAAAAACAGAGGATCTCAATTTTTCAATCATTTATCTGCAATTAGTGAAAGTATTCCAGCTTTAGGATGGGTTGCTGTATCACCTACACCAGCACCTTACGTGAAAGAGATGAATGATGCTGGCCAATTCTATTCTAATCGTGTATTAAAGGATTGGAAGGAAAAGTAAGTTTGTATTGCAAGTCGTCAAACATTAATAATAAATTACATGTTTTTTTTTGTCATTATTATTCTTATGATATATGATTTAAGTTTCTGGAAAATTAATTACTGATGCTGAGTTCAGTTAGCCTTTTATATCTACAGAGATAAAGTACATGCCGAATGGTGCAAAGCTTGGATTCAAACGCTAAGCGATCTTCAACAGTATGTACGTCAACATCACACAACAGGACTGGTATGGGCAAAAACTGGCTCTGCTCCAGCAGGCATACCACCACCTCCACCACCATGTATGCCTATGGGAGATGTGGCACCAGTCAGTATTGCCGATGACAGAAGTGCTCTTTTCGCCGAAATAAATCAAGGAGAAGCTATTACAAAGAGTAAGTATAGCATAATTGTAAAATACTAATGAAATAATTAACCAGGGAATTGTATGAAATTAACTGATGTTTTATTTTATAGATTTAAAGAAAGTCACTTCCGATATGCAAACACATAAGAACCCTTCATTGAGGACTGGTCCAGCACCATTTAAAGCACCAGCAGTCGAAAATGCTATACCATCAAAATCCGTGCCACTTCCGAGTGCACCGATTGAGAAACCACCTGTATTTACTAAAGATGGAAAGAAATGGCTTATAGTAAGTAACATTAATGTCTGTATTTTATATTCGTAAAAATGTAAATTTTATTCACGAAATGTATATTTTATTTTGATTGCAGGAATACCAAAGAGGAAATAAAGACTTGCTCATCGATAACGTAGAGATGAATAACGTGATCTATATGTTCCGATGTCAAGATAGCACCCTGATCGTCAATGGCAAAGTTAACACTATTGTCATGGATTCGTGTCGTAAATCGTCAATCGTTTTTGATTCTGTGGTATCGAGCATCGAATTCGTCAACTGTCAGAGCGTACAAATGCAGGTATGTTGTTTATTTTTCGTAGAAATAGATAATCGATTCGTATTCCATATCTTTGATCAAGTATCGTGTAAAAATATCTTTATTACCAAATGCGTAAATATATACATAGTAATATAATTAAATGAAGTACACACCCTGTATTAGAAAATAAAAGGAGAATATTACAAAAATATAGTTCCGATAATTAATTGTGAATTTTATAAATGCATTGAGTGTTGCTTAGGTTTTTGATATTCTGATACAAGCTTCTTGCAGATGTTTCGCAATTCTTGTAAATGTACAATGTTCGGCTCCTGATGGAGAATTTCAAGGAGCGCCATGTATTCGTCATTGTTTAATTCTTTAGGTGTTCCACATATTTGAAACTTATTTAATACGCTTTCCGATGTTCCTGAAACCTTTTCTAAATCCGAAATTGATGTACTCGTGTCGATTACAGATGGTTTAGCGGTAACATCAATTTCTCTTTGCTCAACGGAAAGAACACATATATGTTTTAATTTTGGGTTTGATAAAGTATCAGCTAACAATCCACTCTTTGTTAACGGTGTAGATGGATCAGGCGATATATTTTCGTCTAATTCATTACCATTTATGATAGAAGAAACGATGGTAACAATCTTGTTCATTATACTTTTTTCTTTTTCTATCGAGTCCGCTGAAAATGTTACATCCGTTTTATTAGATTGATTTTCTTTGTATTCGTTTAGCTCTCTGTTTTTAACGTATTCCAAGAATTTGTTCGGATCTATTATCTTTGCTGCATTTTTATCATATTTTGTGTATATGTGAACATATATTACCATTTGATCTTGAGGAGAAATATTACTGTCAATGTTTTCACTTAAATTTTGTATAGTATATGATGCTTTCATCAAGTCTTGCTTGTCAGTATGATTCTTACTATCATCTGTCTTTTCACCATAGCTGTTTATTTCATCCGTATATTCATTATTTTCTGATTTGCCTTCTAGTTTAATAGATTCTTCCATTACATTCTCGTTTTTACTACACAAATTGTCCCTCCAAAGCATAGTCATTGTTAGCGGTCCTCTTACTGGACTTTTAGGTCTCGTTTCATTTTCTGATCGCCGCGCCGCTTCCAATCGGCTTTTTAGAACTGGTATACAAGATTTTGAAGAGGTTTTAGGTGTTAGTAATAATGGTTTCGCGCGAGTCTTTAATTTGGTTTCCAAAGAATGAGCGTGATTTATCGTGTTTGCATTCCTTGGGGATTCAAATGACTGTGATGTAACGTGATTTGCTGATGCATTTGATCGAAAAGCGATTTGCGATTGAGACCTTTTTTTGTCTAGTTTAATGTTATGTTCTTTATTGCGTTTAGCTTCGACAGACGAATTTCTGACTCTTACACATGTTGGAGTTGTATTACTTTCTGTTTTAGTATGAACAGTACCTAACAAATTTGATTTTAATCCTTTTACATTTTGTAAACCAGCTGATTTCTTAAGCTTTTCAGCTTTCAAAATGTAATTTTCTTGACTCCTTGACTTTATCATTGTATTTCCTCGTTTCATTGTCGTATTTCCTTTTTTTTTCCTCGGAGAAATTTGACATGATAATGTGTTTGACACAAACATATTTTGGCCTACATTGAAACTATATAATTTGTTTCTTAATGTATTCGATTGTACTTTGTCGTCGGTATTTATATTTTTTGGCGATATTAAAGTATGATTATTATTATGCATGTTCAAAGTCGAAATTTTATTATTTGAGACTTCATTTCCTTTTTTTGATGTTTGTTCCCTTTCTTCAACTAGTGGTATATTCCGATTTTCTATATAATCTTCGGAGGAGAATATATCAGTTTTATTATTTGTTTTAGCATCAGAGTTTGATAATTTTGGTTCAATATCTTGTTTGTTTCTCGAGTCTTTTGAATTTTCATCTGGGTAGTATACCTTTTTAGTGATTGCTTGTACGTTTGAATGTGAATGTAAATTATTTTCAGAATGATTCGAGTGTGTATTATTCAATTTAACGACAGAACTCGAAGCTTCGTCTGTAAAATACAAACTACTGTGCGGCGAAATGAGATTAGAATAAGATTTACAGAATTCTGTCTCGTTAATCGAATTTTCGTTACCTAAGTATGCAAACGAATTTCCTTGAACTGAACTATTCTGTTCATCTTTAAACGTATCATCCTGGTTACAATGGATTTTTGTTTCTCTGTATTTATTTGCTGAAGCCATATCTTCATTGTATATTGGCTCACATGTTTCATAACTTTCTATGTCTACATAATCATATTTTTTAAGAGTTACTGTACTCGTTGAAAGTGTCTCTGCGTCTTCTAAGTTCACATGATCATCCCTAAAATTGTTTTTACTATCCGGCCAATTAAAATTTAACTCCTCATCGTCTGCCGATGTATTAATCAGTAGTGTTATAGGCGGAGATTCTGCAATTTTAGCATTGTTTGAGCCATTATTTAGATTGGATGTTAAAGAATCCTGTATTAAATTAGTCTCAATTGAATTTTCTTTACTTTCAGAGGGCGATGATTCATATATTGCATCTACATTTTCTATTATATGTCTTTCTGCTGTATTTTTAATATTTGTTACTAGTGTTTGCTCAATTAGTGAACATGTACCAGGATGTCTTCTTAAACTCAAATTTGGACCAGATGTTAAAGTTTCATTGCCTTCCATGTCTTTCTCATCATCCGTTAAATTTAATTTTTCTCTCAAATCGTTTTCCATACTTTTCGTAGATAATACATTTGTACACTGTTTCAAAGAATCGGAGTCTAGGAAATTGCAACCTTCATTTTTATGTAGATTTTGATTCTCCTCGTCGAATAGGCTTTCGTTTAAATTTTGTGAAAACAATTCCACGCTATCGATGTTATGATCTATAAACTCGTCTGTATTATTCATACGTAAGAATTGTGTTTCAGAATCCTCTCTTTCGTTTACATCATTGTCGCATATTTTGTGCCCTTTTATATTTCCTTCAACATATTTTAAACAGTTTATAAATTTCTTTTCTACAAGTTTTTCATCGAACTTACCCGAAAGATGATTTGAATATTTTATTCGTGAGTTATTTGGAACTATTTCTGCGGATAACTTATTATCGTTAATTCCATTCCTTTCCTGCGATATGTTACTAACACTGAAGTATTTGGAAGACGAAGAAAGATTCTGTGTCGAGTCAAAATATTCGCTGCATGTATTCCGATCCTCAATTGTATTTTGATGTGTAAAGTCTGGTATATTATTGTCGAATGTTGATGTACATGGTAATTGTTTGTCCTGCTTTACATTGAAAAACATGTAAGTTCGGTTTGTCCTGTCGGTGGAGCTACTAACAGATTGTTCCTCTGATATTATATCCAAAAACTTGGACTGGAGATTATTGTTAACGTAAGAACATTTACTATATTCTGATAGAGATTCATTATTCATATTTTCATCCTTGTCGTCAATGTAACATGTTTTCTCGAGTTCAACGCGTGTGAGCAGTGCTTTTTTGAATTCTAATGCTTCTTGAAGTAACAGTGCTGTAGATTTATCGTCGGATTCGCTGTCCTTAGATCTTTCTGTACGGCTCGAGGTTGGTGATAGTATTATCAAATCTTCATCGGTTTCCATCGAAACAGTATGCTGATTAGAGATGCTAACTGATTCTGCTTGATTGCTTTCAGTGTATATGTCTGGTAACGTATAATTCTCTGTCACAGCTTTTTCCTTGCGAATATTTTTTTCATCAAAGAAATCGGATGAAATGGTATAATATACTCTTTCAGGAATTTTATCGTACTTAATAGCAAAGGGATACCCATTGTCTTCGTCGGACTTTTGATCGTTCAGAGAATATATTTTATTGTCAGATTTGTTTAGAAGCGACCAGTGAATATCGTTGATGTTTCGTGGATAACGCGTATTGAACATGTTGGAATAATTTTGAATGGATAAATCGGAACTTCTGCCCATTTCGTCACTTTCGTATTGTTCAGAACTGATGTAGACGGTTTGTTGCGTTTCGTCAGAATTTCCTTTGGTATCGGTATCAAAACTTACCCGACTTTGTCTTTTCTCGTTCCTGTTGTCGACTTCTGTTGTAACCGAAACAAGCGTGTCCATCATATTTTGACAAATGCTGTTTATTTTCTTGCTGGTTTCTTGTTCTCTGTCTATTCCCCGTGTATCAGGATTTTGTGTCTCGTACATTCGTAACACGTTGTGCAAACTTTCCAGCTTCTTCTTCACTTGATATAAAGTTTCTTGAGACGTTCCCATATATTTCTGCTGTTCACACTGCGGTATCAACATATTTGAAGCCGATTGCCGAGAAAACACCTCTGTGCAGAATGTTATATTCATTTTTGAGGGTCTCAAATGTTTATCGAGTAATTTTAAAACCGGGTACATTGCATTTGATAGCTTCAGACAATTTGCTTTGTTCTGTTGATTCAAATCTGTTCCTTTTAAATTTATTTCTTGACCCGCGTTTGTTTCATTCACGTTCGGTTTGATTTCTTCGAATTTTTCGCCAAGTATATCGTTTTGTTGGACACGCTGCTGTAACATAACCGATAGCGATATAATAATTTTTTTTAGCACAACATCAGTGACGCTTTATCTTAATTAAAGTAAATAAATATTACCATCACTGATCAAAGTCTTAATGAAGTAGTATTTCTCTTATATTATGTAATTTGTCTGTTTATTGTCTCAACGAAATTAAATTTAATTTAAACATGCTTTTTATTTTTATTTTTCAGATAAAGTGCCTAAATTCTATTTTGTCTCGGGTCCGTGAAGGTATAAAATGCGCCACTGCGCGTTATCCATATTTACCTCCGTTTCCGCCCACACATTTTTCTTTGACGACTCGTCACTGATTTCTGATGAGCTGCAGACTAATCCCAGATTTTTATTGCTATCGTGTAACTCCTTCAGATATCGTTTGCACTCGTCCAAGCTTTTTATAAATTTCTTACAAGGCCAGGTTTCTTTGTCAGTCTCAACAGCTTTGTAGACCTGGCTAGCCGATTTGCTATTTCTATTTCTTGAACAAAGCGCAGACGAGAACGCTTTTCTGCTCTGCACTTTGAAATTTTCGCTTTTCGATATTTTGCGCTGCTTTTGACTGGTCGCCCTCTTAAACGCGGAATTCAGCCTGTAAGCACAATCAGCTTAGAATATCGATGGGATTTACAGAAGTTGCATCTAGTGCGTGTAATTGTACTTTAAAGATTTCTCGCTGCTACTCTTCGAAGATTTACTGCTATGCTCCAGTGCCAAGGCATCGCGCCGAAGGTACACGGTTTTCTTCTTCGCGTCGAACAGTTCCGTCAAACGATTCCCCGAAGGATAATTGTACTTTGGACACGAAACGTACGACTCGTTTCTTCTGGGACTAAAGATGCAAGATTCTGATAAAATGGAAACTCCTGTTTCCCACGATAGTGTTTTCCAACAGGAAATAGTTTGTACTTTGTTTCGTTACATAAAATTTTGGAAAACACTGCTCTCTTCTCCTTTTCGCAGCTTGTTTGATACCTTAGTAGCACGTGTTTTATCCATTCGTTGCGATCGTTGGGATTGGACAGGGTTAGTCGAAGATTTCGGAGATTCTTTCTGAAGTTCGATTTGTGGATTTGATGAGGCAAAGGCCAAGCGCCATACTGCATTTTGTAGGTCAATATATTAACTTTGAGCTCCAGATCTTCCACTTTGTATCCGACTTTGTTGAGAACTTCATTTTCGATCACAGAGTCGTTCATGTGCTTCGATTTGGCGAACATTAGACGTAGCAATATGGTGAGAACGAGGAACCCAGCGAGAACCTTCAAGTATTATTGATTTCATTAATATAATACGTATAGAGCAGGGAAATATTCTCATTTTGTGTTTACTTTTCGGTGGGCTAATCGTGAACATAGCGTTCAGATAGAAGAAGTCAAATCAGTTTCAGGAAGAACTTACCCGATCGCTATGTTCATAGACCTCTAATTCGATATTCATTTCAACTGAAAAATAATAATTCTCTGTACCCGCCAGACTATCCATTCGTTCTTCAAGCAGTCAAGGACATCGGTTACAACTTCACTCCAAATATAATTTGCAATTGCTTTTGGGCATTCCTTCCAGTCGAGCTCACAGATTATTTGCACGGGTTCAAAATTTCCTCCTACATACGTGTACGAATCGATTAGAACACTGACCAATTACGTTTCAGGACCAATTTTTATTACACAGTTAGGTTTGCTCGAAACGAAAACGATACATTTTATTTCCTAATAAAGGTCAATGAAATCTTACCGAATTGCCAATGCATTCTGACAAGAGGTGTTATTAGACTGTAGGTCTCAAAGTGTAGATTTCAAGAAGCCATCAACACGTATCCACTATTATTTAGGATGTGAATTACGTGAAGCGTAAAATGTCCGGTCTTCCAGAGATGTTGCGACCGGCACTTGTTCTTTTTTATAAACACGGTGAAAATATCGATGTTGCATATAGAGTGGTTCACTCGAAAAAGAACCAGAGAAAAGAAATAATTATACTGTAGGAATATGATTTTCTAAATCATATCAATTTTTAAAAACTATTTTTATATGTTCTGTTTGTCATCACAGGTACGTGAAAAGGTACCTACTATCTCCATTGACAAGACAGATGGCTGTCAGATGTATTTGAACTCGGAATCAGTGGACGTAGAACTTTTCAGCAGCAAGTCTAGCGAATTAAACTTCATGGTACCAGAATCAGGGAGTTATGTAAGTTTTCTACAATACCAATATCATTGCGTGTGCTTATTTTCTTATCCTCTCTCGTTGACTTGCATCTTGTATAATTTTGCATTTGCAGCGCGAGTACGCTGTACCGGAGCAATTCAAGACGACTATTACTCCACTAGGTCCTAAAACCGTTGCGATCAATTCAGTGGATTAAAACGCCAATAATTCAACTACTCATAGCCTAAAGTTAACGTCTGTCTAAGAGTACGGCTCATTAGAGGTATCATCTTCAGAGAATTCGTCGATTTATTATTTATTGCTTCTTCAATTAATTTAAGAATTCGGGAGAAAGGCGAAGAAGTAGAAGAGAGTAGTTTCATCCGCGCGCATAGATCTGCGATTCTGTGTCGTATTCAGAGAATCGTGGAATCGAATTAGATAAATCGATTAAACAACATTGCAACGTTACAGCCCTATCTCTTTCAATGTATTTGCGCATTTCGTGGGGATCATCGATTCTATGCAGATCGAAATTGGAGTCAAGTGAGAAAGGATGCTTGATCATACGAGTCTTGTCAAATTTATGTATGCTGGTATTCGATAATCTGCGGCTCAACATTTTGTAATATAGCACCGATTAGGTTAGTGATTCGTTAAGCAGGTGTTCATATAACGGAATCGACATTCTTCACGAAAAATTATTTCGCACGTTGGTGCTGAGATTAGGGGGCTGTAGGTTGCATTAAGAATAGGTATGGACAAAAGTTTTACTACCCTCGAATCGCACTTTTATACATTTACACCATTTTCTATTGTGATCGAACTTTTGCCCAAACCCGGTCGCTTCAAGATTTCAATCAACTCGCCAAGGAATTGCCACTCGATCGTTTTAGTGGAAGAAAGGAGAGCGAGTATCGCACGTACACATTTGAGAGTATAGAATCGAGAAACATTCATGAGCCATTTATAAAGTGTTAGGGACGTCATATCAATAGGTCGATATATTACCTCTAGACTTTTGCAGCAAATAACTCTCTTCATCAGTTTAGCGCATGGAATTACCTTGGTTCGGGACAAATTTCTTCATGAATTGTATATGTTGTATTCTTAATTCTCTTTGACGATTTTAAAGCTTAAGTAATTCAGTTCACGTGTCTTCCGAATCTATGAACGTTCGTGATTTGTAAATAGGATTGAATACTAAATTTGTTTTATGTATAGCATTCGACTCATCGTGAATTTGAGAATTTTAATAACCTTGGCACGGTCGTTGAGTGTTGAGTGTAAATTGAAACGATCAAAATGGTTGTGCAAAAGTCTTGATGGTACCAGCGGTGAAGAGGAAATACCTTGAACAATAAAAAAAATTGTGAACTCAATATTGAACTTCAAATGCGTGCTGTTTGAACGTGACGTAAATTACATTGTGATTTTTACCACTTGGTATATTGTGCTAATCGTAGGTATAATCTAATATTAGAGCTACTTAACTGAGGCACGATTTAGAATAACAAGATCGTTTAAGGTAACAATGGAGCCAGCAGTTCGATCCTTTTTACCGAAGAGACTTAAGCAGATTCGAACGATGCGATTTTTCTATCGTTTCTATGGTACTAAATGTGTTTAATTACGGAGCGACGATTATTTGATTGAGGATCGTACTGTCTTTAACACAGTAATCTTTAACAGCTTTCATTTTAATATCGATAGAGTATTATATCGAAAGTAATCAATATTTATTTCCGAATATGATTTTCAGTGCTATTTCTAATTGTCCTAATAAAAGGTAATGATATACCATCTAACCTTATTATTGTATCGCAGTCCTTTGTTCTTTTTCAGGAACCGACGTATGATTAAACAGTAATACTTCAGGTAAAAAGTTATGCAGGATGTTTTTCTTTTTTTTTTAAAAATCCTTATTTATTAGCATTAAAAGATTTTTTACATAATACATTAGACACGATATATACACATTATGTTAAAAATCTTCGAACTTACAAAGAGACTGAAGTAGTGAGCACGATATACGTGGCCTTGAGATTCGTTTTGCAGCTACAAAGAATCAAAATGCCAGGTTCATCTAAACATTCCTAAGCTAAATATATTTGAGTTGTGCGAATGACTTAGAGATACTATTCTTGGCGACTATTCGTATTGTCGTGGAACAAATAATGCCGCAAATAACCTAACGATTGCCATTAGTCGATTTACTTTTACGATCCTAATGTATTAATGTTAACTATTCAGCACGAAGATAATTGCATAGAAAATTATACATCAGTGTTCGCGGTATCACCAGTTATCATTAATAATCGAAACTCTTAACAGCGCTCACCGATGTTCAATACATTTTCTAACATTTATCGTCAGTTTTCAATTTCTATCTATGTATTGCACACATATAAAACCAATGAAAATTTTATATGTTACAAAAGTGTTCCTACCGATTCAAAATCAGTGCAAATTCTAACATTATCCTCTAGTGTTCACGTTTTTTTTTTTTTAAGTTTTTATTTTTATCTAAAAAGTCACTTCTCGCGTCTATCTGCGGCAAACAGACTATCGTTGGGATAAAATTAATTGGTTGCTCACGATCGCAGTTCCAACTGTGAATTTACGCCAAGCAGCACGTTTGTTTTTTCCAATTGATTTTGGCCCAACTATTCTTTCGTTGCCAGCGAGCAGACCAGCGGATTCTTGATCTCGTTTATCATTAAATTAATTAATTCGTTTGTTCGATGCTTGCACAGCTGAACAGATAAATACGCAGGGATTCACGTACAAATACGATCAGTCTTTTGTAATTATAAGTTAACAGGACAATTACGTTCATTGCTACCGTCCGAGCATTCTAAAAATTCATTGCATACTCGAGATTTTGGTAAACATTCACCAAGTGGACATCGATGGCCCTTGCAGGACGCTATCGATGATCGTATGTCTTCTCTCGAAATTGTATGCTCTATCCAAGGGAGGTAATGATGAACTTTCGTGTAGACTCCAGGTCTCCCTGGTCTTGCGCAACCGTAACCGTTCGAAGTAATACCTGGAGAGAAAGCCATACAATTTTAATGATTACACTATCTCGCAACTAGAATCCTGATCAATCGTGTTTACAATATTTTTAATCTTTTCTTATCTTTTTTAGTACTACAGAATATGTGTGCGTGTGCGTGTGCGTGCGCGCGCGCGCGCGCGCGTGTGTGTGTCTTACCATGAAGAGTGTACTTGTTGTCTGATCCCGAGCAAACCAGAGGTCCACCACTGTCTCCTAAACAAGCATCTCTTCCTCCATTCTGTAATCCTGCGCACAGCATTCCCGATGTGATCCTGTATAAAGGAAGGAACAGAGTCTTTCTTCGACACTCCTCCGTCGAGATTACAGGTAGTTGTACCTCTTGCAACGTATCCGCTATTTAATAAAAAGTTAATCGAAAATTATTAAAAGGTATACATTAAAAGGTATATTATCGAAAGGTATACTTACGAAATATTCTTCCAATCTCAAACAGTTGTCCCCATCCCGTCACGGTACACATAGTACCACTTTTTGGCTCTGTTTCAGGAAGACATATCGGTCTAACGTAGTCGCTGAATACCACCTGCTCTTCGAGCCTCAGCATCGCTATATCGTTTATAAATCCGTTGTCAATGTACTCGGGATGCAAGGATATGTGGTCCAAACGTAACACTTGTTCGTAAGGACTCGGGAAACTCCCCCGACGCGTTGCTCCGATTCTAGCCACCCAATATTTATCTTGAGCACTGTCAAAAATATCGTACTTTGTATAACGAAACCTCAGGCATACGTGTTCTTTTCATTAATTCAAGGACATTTTTTTATGTTTACAAATATTTATTAAAAGGTCACATTAATTACTATGTTACTATGCCAGTCTTATCAAGTTTTTCTTCAATCGTTTGTTCGTAACGGTGCTCGGAATTGAAGCCTAGTGTACTACTTTCATTTCATGATGAACCAGTTTCTTATTCGAGCAAGTGCAGCCAAGATTGCTAGTAATTTCGTTAAGGGTTCCACATAATGTTATTCTGGGCAGGTTGAACTAGTACCTACCGACCTATTTCACTCTCGTTTGAAATAGATTCAACGATAAAGAAAAGAAGTACCGAGGTAACGTAATTTTCCAGCGTTCCTGGCTTACTCTCATTCTCAAATGTCTTTGGAGTATAAAGAAGGCCAGTCGGCCAAGACTCGCTTTATTCGTCGGTACAGGATGCTTCAAAAGACGCGAATTCATGTTTTATCTAGCGAAACCAATGGTACAAATACCACAAATGTTTACGTTAATTTGAGTTATCGACAGGCAAATTAAAAATCTGAATATCTCTGATTGCTTGAAGTTTATAACTATCGTTTATTTACTGTTTGGATAATGACTTTGGTACCTTACTCAAGTTTTTGATCAATTTTAATTGAATTCATTTCTTCGATTTTAGTAACATGTTTCTTCCACTTACTGATAAAAGCAATGCGCTGCGGATACGATCCATCTGTCGCTGATGAGAGCACCGCCGCATTGATAATCACCTTCCTTGTAGAGAGCCACTTGCCACGGCCAACTTCCAGCCGAAGAGCTACCACCTCCGACTATCCTGGAACGTCGAGAAACATTCGATCTACTTCAATGCACACATTTCCCACAAATACGTTTACACGTTTGATTTATCATTTTCGTGGATACCAAGTCTATCAAAACCTTCTGTCCTGTTTAATATTAGCGCAATAACAAAGCAAATATAACGCGTAGAATATTGCTTTAATATTCTAAGCGTCGAGAATGCATAATGTGAAAATATCAGGTCTATCAAAAGCTTTTGCTATTTTTAATATTAACGCAATAACAGAGCAAATATAACTCGTAGAATATTGTTTTAATATTCTATACGTCGGGAATGCATCCGTGGGATGTGGAAATAACAGAACGTTTCGATGGATTAGCAATATTCACACGAATCTTGATAAAAATGTACGATGCCGATACATGGTATTATAGTTGCTCGTCTCGGAGCAATAACGACCGTTTGATATTCTAATTTTATGCGTATCCGTGTACCATACTTTTCTCTCCCTCTCTCTCTCTCTCTCCGACCGATATATTGTTATTACTGAAACGCAGGAGGAGGGCATTATCCTTGGGCGTAGTTTGTATACAAAATAGTTGTATAAATGTTGCGGTCGGTATATAATTATGAGAAACTGGTTCAGTGAGTATACCTGGCCTGCGATGGTGCCTGCGTTCTTATTCCGCACTCAAGGTTCTTGCACTTGACCCTGAGAATCTCGCCGCTCGGGCATTCGGATGGTTTGAAAGTCAGGATCGTTTTGTCCAGAGATTTCTCGTTGTACGACAACGTGTAATACGAGCGACTGGACGTTGGCCTTTCGTCCAATACCTTTTCGACTGTCTCGTAATCTCTGGAGAACATTTGTCAATTCGTTGATACATTTAGCACGTGTTCTAATGCTCATAAGCTTATCATTTTCTTTAAAGGGGGCTCGAATAAATATCAAAGAACTACCCAACGTATTTTATGTCTCAATATTGAAACTAAAGTACCAGTAAAAAGTAGACTCTGTATGTTTAGCTGTGGAGACCAATTGAATTCTATCGAGCATAAGAATTTGACCAGTTTCGAGACACTTCATTTTTTGGTAGTTTATATTTTAGAAACTTTAAGAGAAAAGTGGGAAACATCAACCGATAGTATTATGTAATACTTACTGATACGTAATCGCCTTGCAAACCGCTCTGCCAAGATCTTCGATGGTCCAGGTAGCCTGTCTCTCTTGCAACAGATCATCCATCCCGCTTAAACACAATTTCCCCCATTTCCCGTTCTTTCGTATGTTTATGTAACCCTTTTCGTTGTAATTGTTAATTTCCTTCTTGACATTGTTCGTGGTCATAGCCTCGTTATTTTTCGAATTCACATGGATCGAGTTCCCGTGAGCCAAAACGTCTTTCGCGTTTGACGATATTTCCCTTCCAGATACGAGGATAGTGGCGTTAGATCGCTCACGATTATCGAAAACCGTTTCTTCTTTAACCGTTGACTCGTTCTTCGTGGTTATAATTTTGTCCAGTTGAACGTTGCTCTTGGATGCGCGGATGGTCGTCGATTCCGAGATGGAAGACTCGACTGCTTCTTGATCGAAGACGACGTCCTTGTCAGTGCTGGATTCTATTTCGGAAAAATATTCCTGCGGGAGTGCGTAGTCTTCGGTCACGGTAGGCTCAAAATTATTCTCATATTTCGAGGACGCACTTGTTTTCTCGTGGTTTGGTATTGCATCGTCTTCTATGAGTGCGGCACACTTTTTTTCGTCCTCTCCTTCGGGGCAGTCCGCGAAGCCATTGCACACCTTGTCTTGATCCACGCAAGATCGGCTGTTACCGCAAACGAATTGCCCCTCCTCGCACCAGTCTGACAAGCAATCGAAGAAAAGAAATTATTTTAGATACGTAACGTTGAGCCCTCTGTTCCTTGCAGAGAAAGAAAAATTGTTCATTACTTTATCAGAATTTGTTCCAATTTCATTACGCGTGTTTAATGATATTTTCGTCTTATCGGAATTGTGATAGTATTGAAACTGTTTGTCAGATGCGATATCTGTCAATAATCATTTGTAAGAATAAATACCGCAGTCTGTTTCGTCCGAATAGTCCCAGCAGTCGGCCACACCGTCGCAAATTTTCTGGTGGAGGAGCTGCGCTTTTAAAAAGTCGGCGCACGTACAGTTGGCTTCGTCTTCCGAATTCGAGCATTCACCCAGC